TGCATAATTAACGTCATCAGGAAATTAGTTTAACGCACGGCGCACCTAATTCAATAATAGTTTGATCTATTTAAATATTACATTTAGATTAAAAGCATTTATTATTTATTTCACTTTACATATTATATTAAAATTTATTATTAGAATATTAGCTTGAATTTTGCAGCAGGTAATTTATACAACAGGACGGTATCCTTTTTTGAGGATATCAAACCTCTGATAGTTTCACTTTTTCATTTTCTATTCCAAATAATGACATAGAAATTAATTTATAAAAAAAAAATTTTTCAATTCTAAGCAAGAATTTATTTTTATAAATAATAAAACTCATCGAAGAATTTCAATTATTTTTAATACTATTTTTAATTAATTCATCGAATAATAATTCAATTATTTTCACAAATAAAGTTTTCTACATAAGAATTCAATTATTTAAAATAAAATTTTTACTATATTTATTATATTTTGAAAAAATTAATTATTTAAAACAATTTTTTATAAAATTCTTGTAAAGAATTCAATTATTTTCAAAAATAACAAAATTTTTAACAAAAATTCAATTCTTTTTAAACATTTTAATAAAAATTTTCGCAATAATTCAATTATTTTCATAAATAATAAAATTCTTCCCAAGAATTCAATAATTATTAAAGAATAACAAAATTATTACCCGAAAATTCAATTATTTTAAAACTTTTTAATAAAATTCTTGTCAAAATTCAATTATTTTTATAAATAATAAAATTATTCTCAAGAATTCAATTATTTACAAAAATATTAGAATTTTTTACAGTAATTCAATTATACTTTTAAATATTTTGATAAAATTGTTCGAATGAAATCAATTATTTTAAATACAATTTTAATTAAATTTGTTTGAAATAATTTAATTATTCTTTTAGATTTTAATAAAAATTCTTCCCAAGAATTCTTCTTCTTTCTTCTTCTTTTGTTTTAATGGCCTCTTGTATAAACAAATAGCCAGTACTAAGTAAATATAAATAATTTCAATAAAGACTCTTAAGTTTGCCAATTATATCCTTCCCAAGAATTCAATTATTTACATAAATAATTCTTCGAAAAAATTCAATTATTAAAGAATAATAACAAAATTATTCCCGAAAATTCAATTATTTTGACTCATTTTCACAAAAATTCAATTATTTTCAAATATTTTAATAAAATTGTTCCAAAGAAATCAATTGTTTTAAATTACAATTTTAATTAAATTTTTTTGAAATAATTCAATTATTTTTTTAGATTTTTAATTATTTAAAAAAATTCTATTAAATTATTTTAATTATTTTTTTAATTTTTTAATTATTTTAATTTAAATTTAAAAAAATTAATCATTTAATTAAATTTTTTTTTTCAAATTTAGAAATAAAAAAATATTTTGTCGGAAAGAAGGAAAAAAATCCAATTTTTCTGGTTATAATATTGATTTATTAAGTTTTCGTTAATTATATACAGAAATTCGTTGTTTAATGACAATGGTTCAGAGGGACATTATAAGCGTCGGAAAAAATTCTCTTTGAGATTATGTTTCTTATATTAAAAAAAAAAAAATCTATACATAAAAGGCACAATGTCATTTTAAACCAAAGTCATCAGGCTTCAAAATCTCGATGAAATTATTTATTTAATAAACAATTGTCAAAATCGAATTCGAAGTTTTGGACTCAAGCGGAATCACCGACAGAAATATTGCACTAAAATCGGGACGCCGTCAAAAAAAAAACTATATTTTTTTTTTTCATTAAATCTACAGGAGTCTTTCTCTGTCAACTCCTTTATATCTTAGCGTATCGGCGCTTAATAAGTTATTTTTCGGTTACAGTCGACTTCATGCTATACTTTTTATTTATATTTCATTTATTCTATTCTTCATTTCATTTTTTCTCTCACTTTCTCTCTTTTTCTCTAGTTTCATTCTTTCTTTCAAATATTTTCATTTTATCGAGAATTTACATAAAAAATTCTTTTCTTTCTTCATCGTAAGATTTTCGAAAAAATTTTAAGAAATTTGATTGAAAATCTTATGGAAAATTTTGTTTTTGTTATTAATTTTCTGATTTCATACTTGCATACAAATTAACAAACTATTTTTATTTAAAACTTTAAACTTTTTTTTTTTTAATTTTTGAAATAAAAATTGATTGTCAAAAAAAAACAGTTTGAGAGACAACGGGAAAATTTTTTTTTTAATTATTAATTAATATGTTTTGATAAGCTAAACAGAGGCACTTATCATTCTAATATTTGATTTAGTAATCGCATAGAGGCTGATGACTTAAAATCTTATAAAACTAAGAGTGAGATTCGTCGAAGTTAATTCAGTTAAGACGAGACGATTGTCAAGAAAAAGCGTCCACAATTTTCAAAACTGTTCAAAATTAGAAAAAAAAATGGAATTTTTACAAAAATTTTATTAATATTTACAAAGATTGCAAATACTTTTAACTTGAAAATTTTTTTTCTTCAAACGAATTTTCGAATTTTCTCATTACAAACAAATTTACATTTTACGAAACTAAATTTTTGATTTATACAAAATTTTGGTACATGTCATTTTTTTAATTCCTTGGAATTTTTTTTTTTTTAATAATAATAATTACAATTTTTTTTACATACAATTTTTCTTCTGTACAAATATAATTTTTTTAGTTTTCTTTTTCTTTAAAAAGCCCAGAAATAAATAAAATTTGGTTTTGCAAATTGTGGGCGATTTTAATGTAGAAATTAAAGTTAATTAGAGCGTATACCGGACTAGTGTTCAGTATATGTCATAAATATTAGGAATCAAGTTTTTACTAAAAGCGAAATCGATTTAAAAAAAAAATTATGACAAAAAGACTATAAGATTCGCTACAAATACAAATTTTGCAGATTCGTTGTATTCGATGACTCTCAAAATTGCCATAAATATAACATTTTTTTTAGATTAAAAATAAAAGCTTTAAAAAAATTATTTTAATAAAATTATACATAAAAAAGTTGTTTTTCAATTTTTTTAAAAAATCGAAAATTTTTTTAAAAGCTGATTTGGTTATAAATTTTTTAAATAATTAATTTATCTCTAAACTAATTAAAAAATTGGTTTTAAATTTCTTTAAAAATAAAATTAGAGAATTATTTTTTAACTGATTTGGTTACAATATTTAAAAGTATAATTAATAAAAACAATTTTTTAGTTTTTTAATAAATTTTAAAAAAAGAAGTACAAAAAAAATTACAGTAGATTAAAAAATTATTAATAAATTACTAATTACTGTATTTAAATATTTTTTGGATTTTTTTATACTTTATAGGCATTGATAGTAAAAATTTATAAATATTGTAATTTACAACATTATAAATTTATAATTTTTAAAATTTGCAAATTTAAAATTTTTAAACTTTAAAAATTTACAAATTTATAATTTTCAAACTTTAAAAATTTACAAATTTATAATTTTCAAACTTTAAAAATTTACAAATTCACAATTTACAAAATTTGAAAATTTGTAAATATTATAATTTATGAAATTTGTAAGTTTACGAAAAAAAATTTACACTTTGAAATAAATTTTCATTTGGATAAAAAATGGCAATTTTGAGTACACGCACTATTACAGAGTGTCGGGCAGTAATAAAACTGACAGTTGAGCAAAGAAATCTCGGCGTCCTGCACTTTCGCCGCAGGATCCGAGTCGAAACTCCCATCACTCCATATATGCACCCGACAAAACAAGACTTTTGCCAAAAAGAAACGAAAAAAAAATAAAAAAAAAACACTGCTAAAAATTCTCAAGAAAAAAAAATTTTTTTTTTCAAAAAACTTTTTTGTTTCTAAAAAGAATTATGCGTGTTTTACAAAATTATACATAAACAAGTGTTTTACAGAATAAAAACTATTCATAATAATTTTTTTTCTTGTTTCATTAATAAAAAAAAAAAAAAATAAAAAAAAATAAAGAAGCTGGAAAATAAAAATCTCTATTAACAAGCGTAAGAAAGTCTCGATTTGTCGGGTTTCCATTCACTCAAGCAAATAGTGGTCTCGACAAAAGGAAAAGTTTTAGTGGGAAAGTGCATACATTGAATGTTACGTTTGGCAAATATTGATTTTACATAAACAGTCAACTTTTGTCAAAAAGAAGTCAAACATTTTTTTTCTCTAATGACACTTGCCAACTAAAACTTTCTCTAAATCCTTAGGTCACTTTTGAGCGAGTATCGAATGCCCCTCACTATTAACAGCAATGATCTGCAATTATTATCGATTTTTCCCTCTTAATATTTTTTTCCCGAAAATGATTTAAAAAATTATTTTTCAAACTAACAAATTAAAAAAATTAATTTATTTCAAAAATTTCGATATTCTTTTCTAATATTATCAGAAATATTATTTTTCAAAATAACAATAAGAAAAATAAATTTATTTCAAAATTTTATTACAAAAATTTAGTAATAAATTCATTAAAAAAAATTTATCAAAAAAGTTCATTTAAAAAAATTTATGAAGAAAGTTCATTAAATATTTTAATAAAGAATTCCATTAAATGAAGTAATAACGAAATTTAATAAAAATATTTATTGACAAAATTATATAAAAAAATGTTATAAAAATGTTTATTATAAAAATTTAATGAAAATGAAAAATAAAAAAAAAATTTGTAAAAATGAATTTTTATTTTATTTAGCAAATTTTATAAAAAAAAATGTTATAAAAATATTTTATAAAATAATGTTATAACATAATGTTATAAAAATATTTTATAAATCAATGTTATAACAAAACGTTACAAAAATATTTTATAAATCAATGTTATAACAAAACGTTATAAAAATATTTTATAAAACAATGTTATAAACAAATTTTATGAAAATATTTTATAAACAAATTTATTAGAAAAATTTAATAAATATGAAGAAGAAAAAAAATTTTTATAAAAATGAATTTTAAAATATCCTTTTCTCAAACACTGAGAAAAATCGACAATCTATCGAAATCAGAACTTTTAATATCTCGAGGATTCGGTTTTTTTTTTTTTTTTTTTTGAATGATTATTATTATAAAAATTATAATAATTGATTATTATTATTACATAGTATAATAATTATTTAGGCTCGTTTTTTTTAATAATATAAATAATGCGAATTCTGAATTATTGTGGATTTAACTGCTGTGGCTGTAGGCGGTGTTCGTGTAGGGGCCGCTATATATGGATGAGCCCGTGGTTGAGACACTCTTGTGCCGCCTCTTTGCCATGACGAGGAAAATCGCTGCCGCCACGGACAGCATCAAAATTAGACTCGCTATTATCACCGCGATCGTGAATGTCTTCGGCGAAATGCAGATACTGTTCGGATCATCGAACGCCTGAAAAATTAAAAAAAAAAAAATTAACACCGGTTATTTTATGTCCTTAAGGAATATTTAGTTTTTTATACTTAAATTAAAATGTTTTACTGTCTTTTTTCATTAGTGTTGTATTATATACATTAAAAAAACAAACTTTAGAAATTGGTAATTTTTTAAAATGAAAAAAAGAAAATTCGGTTAAATTTTGCTTAATTCGGTCAATTTTCGGTGAAAGGAAATATTTAAAGATACTAGACGAGAAACAAGTTTGTAAATTTATTATTATTTTTTCTTCCTTTTTAAAATATTAAAAACAGAGAAAAATTATTTTATTTTTAAAAATTTTCTTTCATACTCTTTCTCTGAAGACATCAGCAAAATCTGATCTTGAGGCAAGATCAGATGCCTCGTTCACGTAAAGTCCACTGTAAACTTCTATCGTGGCTGGCGTGCCACCATCCAAGCCCTCGGCTGCTGCCTTATTCTTTTCTTCAGCACTCGAGTCCCTGCGTCTTCTTCTTACTTCATTGCACAATGGCGGCTGAAAAAAAACAGATAAATACCTTTCAGTGATACACTCGACCAACGGACCAAAAGAAGTCGATTTATTCTCATCAATTTTAAAACGTTCTTCTTGAGAATCTCTTTTTTTGAAAATTTATGGGGGATTCAATTCAATCGTGGGGATTTAATTAAAAAAAATTTTAAATAGTCTCTTTCTTCTATTATTGTTTTTTAAATCTCGGAAATTGTTTCATATTATCATTAGATTAAATTAAAAAAAAATTTTTTTATTTTATTAATTTTATTTTAATAAATTGAAGAAAGAGCGATTTTTTAAAAAAGTTTCAGACACAAAAATAAAAAGAAAAGAAGAAAAATAGGAGAATAAAAAATGCCTAACGTAAAATTTATTTAAATTAAAAAATTAAAAAGTTTTTTTTTTTTTTTTTTTTTTTCTTTAATAAATTTTTAGTTTGAAAAAATAATAGTTTTAATAATAATATTTAAATTCACAACTGTTTTAGTCGAAACTATGAAAATTTTAATAAAACAGCTTAAATTAGCAGAGAAATTAGAAAATAATTACCGTATGTGAGCAACCGCCGCCATCTTTGACACAAAGACGAACGTTACATTGATAATAGACGCTCGCTGTGTAAGGAAATTTGTGAGCTTGAAAATTGACTTTGGCCTCCGTCTTGTCTCCATTATAAGTGAATTGACCCATAATTTCACCATCAACAGGACACCTAAAATATTATTAAATTAATAACTATTCTCCTTATTGAATAATTTTCACCTAAAATATTATTAAATTAATAACTATTCTCCTTATTGAATAATTTACACCTAAAATATTATTAAATTGTTAACTATTCTCCTTATTAAATAATTCTCAATTTTTTCTCGCTTTTAATGTCATAATACGATAATTATTGTATAAAAGTATTTAAATATTCCAAGAAGAATAAAAAAATGTCAAGGTTCGAAAATATCTTTCAGCCTGAAGAAAGATCTGGAGGATATGTTATTATATTGGAAAGGGCACAAACGTCTCTTCATTATTTGTGCAAAAATTAACATCAGAAAAGACGTTTGCATCAGAAATGTTGAACTGGCAATTTTTTTTTTCATTTTCTTTCATTTACATTGTAACCACCTTTCCTGTATATAATTCCAACTCATGATTCATGTGAAAAATCGTTTTCTCGTATAACTAGTGAAAGTTTTGTTTCATCTTATTCTTAACGTTAAAAAAAATTCTCTTTATTAATAAAAATAGAAAATGTCCACAATAGAATTATTTTTCGATTTTTATTAAAAACTGTTTTGTCTTTTTGTTTATATTTTTCATGAATTATTTCCTTCAATTTTTATCTACACGGGCTCAAAGGCACTTTGAAAAGTTTTTTTTATTCTTTTTTATTTTTTTCTATTTCTTTTTTATTTCTTTTATTTTTTTTATTTTTTTTATTTCTTTTTTATATTTTTTTATTGTTTTTATTTTATTTTATTTATTACACATAGTTAATTGTAAAAAAATGTTAAAAATTAACGTCTGCTTTTTTAAATACAAAAAAATTTTAGCGAAAAGTAGAAAGGCGGGAAATAATGAATCGTTTTTTACCCTTGGTCATTAATGAGACGTTGCTCGCCCCATCCGAGACCGTCTCGAACTATACAGTCGGATATTTTGAGACCAAATAAATCCTGTTTGTCAATGCTTATCACTAGAGTTAAAGGGTCGCCAATTTTCACATTCTCTGCGACTCGATGTCTCGTTGGGTCCCCGCTAAAAATCTTCATTGTACAGCCCGGCATTGGCGTCATGGACTGTAAAAAAAAAATTTACTCTCTTATTCAATATCTTTCAGCATATTTTTGTCAATAAATTTTTCTCTAAATTCTTCTTCATTTAAATGTGACGCTTTCTGAAAAAATTTGAGGTTATGTTTGCAATTCTTGGAAAAATAGTCCCCTAGGGGATTACCCGCTTGGCGGGAAATTTAAAAAAACAATTTCTTTTAAATTTATTATTATGCAATATTAAATAAAAAAAATATTAGGGGTTAAACTTTTAATACTTTTTTTTAAATTTTAGTTTCAGGTAATTAAAATAAAATTATTTAAATTATAAAAAAGAGTATTTTTATAATTAAATTTAAAAAAAATTTGAATAATATAATTTTTATTGAAGAAAAAATATAAATAAATTACCTGCTGAGGCAAAGATTGTAACATGGCGGTTTGTGCTTGGTCGTTCGTGATAACTTTGTCTCGAGTCTGATAGCGACATCTCACGTGGAAACCTCTGCCCTGATTCGTGACAAGTTTTAGGTGCGGTTGCACCACTATCGTATTAAAGTATTCGATTCCACCGTCGTCCTGAAAGAAAAATTTTTTTTATTTTTTATATATAGTCGCTTATTTAAATAATTATTCAAATTTAACAAATATTTATTTATTTCTGAAACTTTTAAAAATACAAGAAATTTGTCATTGCAAAGAAGGCGAAATATTTCCCTTTAGGGGATTACCCTCTTGGCGGGAAATTTAAAAAATCGTTTTAAAATTTTTATTTTAAAAGAATATTTACATAATTAATTCACGTAGATCATTGTTATAGGAAAATTTCTTTATTCATAGATATTATAATAAATTTATTTTATATGGATAAATAAAAATATTAGAATTTTTTTTTTTTTTTTTGTAATAAGAATATTATTTATATAAATAAGTAAAAATATTATATATTTAAACACATAAAAAGAAAAAAAAAGTTAGTAAATTTAAATTCTAATTAAATTTAAATTGCGCCTTATGCCTTATGCGTATTTTGTCCTCTGAGGGGAATACCCGATTGGCGGGAAATTTAAAAGTTTTTTTGCATCTAATACTTTAAGGCGTTATTAGAATTCCGATAAAATTTCTTCGGTTTAAACGATTACAATCCGGTTTTGCCTGTGATAATGTAACCGTTCCATGGAACTCGACTTATCTTTTCCTTTTCTTTTTGTAATTGTTGTAACGGATCATTTGCACCAATAGTTTTGCGATTTGAGCCATTTTTATTTTATTTTATTAATATTTTTATATCACCTTAACATTTTATTACTACACATGTATCAAAGATATGCATATAAATAAATAAACATATAAATAATAATAATAATAAAAAAAAATTTGTAAAGAAAATAAATATATATATTTCTTTAATATATTTTTTGTTTTATTTTTATTTTTATTATTACTTTTAATGTAATAAAATGTTAGATTTTTTATTTTTTAATAGTTTTTTTTTAAATGAATAATAAATATTTTTTTTTTGAGAGAGAGAAAGAGAAAAATTTAAAAAGTTTGAAGAGTGGAAAAACCGGAAGGCCCTTTTTTATGGAGAAATAATGGTGAATATTTTAGTGGGGGTAAGATAATGATAACCAATCAAGTGAACGTGCCTCTTTTGTGCGGGGATCTTCTGCTGCAACATTGTTGCAAGGTCGTGATGTGTTATTTATTGTATCCGCATTGCTACGAAAAATAGCTTTATTATTTTATTCTTAATATTATATATATACACCATGCCATTTCCGACAATTTACTGCATTAAACTGATTCCCAATAATTTTCTCTCCAATAATTGGAATCCCACTGTAATAATATATATTACACTGAATGTAGATAATTAGATAATTTATTAAATTACAGCAGAAATATATATGAAGTTTACAAAACTCGTTTTCATATTTTTCAAAAGTAATTATTTTTTCGATTTTTTTTTTTTTTTTTTTTTTTTTTGGTAATGAAAATATAAAAATATTTTATAAAAAACTAAAAAATGTGAATAATATTTCAAAGAAAATACTAAATAAATAATATTTTAGAAGAAATAATAAAAAATGTTTTAGAAAAAATTTTTTTTTTTATTTTTTAAATATTTTTTTGCTTTACATAATAAAACTTTATTTGGAGAGTCATTTTAGAACAAATACATTTGTCATAAAATAACAACATTCGTCGTAACATTTTAGAAAAAATAATAAAAAATATTTTAGAATTTTTTTTTTTTTTTTTTTTTTTACTCTTTACATAATAAAACTTTATTAGGAGAGTCTTATGAAACACTGACCGAAGTCTTGTTGTCTTTAGAACGAGGATCGTTATGTCTGTAATTACAGTTTATTGTTGCGGAACCACGGGAGGAAACGCTTTGATTGCCAATTCTGTTCATTAGAGTCGATCGTTATCTCGCTAATGGCCATCGTTTTGTGGTGTAAAAACAATGTTTTGGCGATCAATAAATCTCCACACGCACCAAATGATAAACTCTCGGATAAATCTAAAAAAATCCAGTCCCTTTTTTTATTATTTACGAAAAAAATTCAAATTTCCCGCTAAAACTTGTTTGAAAATATAACCCACACTCCCCATGGGATTCCCAAAAATAGCGGGAAATTTAAAATCCAAATTTGCAAATATTGTGAAAAATCGTTAAATCAAAAGAAAATATATTAGAAAACTGTAATATTTCTGAAAGTTGTTAATATTTTTTTTCAAAATACATAACTTTTAGCAAAAAAAAATTAATTTAATGATTTGAGAAGAGGGAAAAAATCTCAGTGTCAACGACTTTATGGCGTGTCGTGTGTTCTCTTTTGTTGAATTGTCGATTCCATTCTAGGGACAGGAGAAAATCGCAATGGAGAGAAGGAGACTTTTTATTGTCAGAGTGCAAGGACAAACATGAAAGTCCCTTGTGTCGACAAAACTCGTATACTCTTGGAAGTGTTAACAATTACCGAGGCGAGCAAACGAATTAAATCACAACTTCTGAGAGGCGCCTTCTTTAAAGTTCCAAGCAATTTTCCCGTCTGATTAGATTTTGCTGATTTCAACCTTTCCCATAAGGAAAAGAAAAAAAAATTTTGCCAGTAATTGACAATTTTTCACAAGTCCATAAATTCAGAAAATAAAAAAAGTAGTTGACACTTTCGAGAAAAATAATTTAACTGTGAATAGATAAAAATGGTTAATAAGAATTAATTCTTAAATAAAGTTATTAAAATAGTTCTGTCCCATCTGAAATTTGATTTTTTGGTCTTAAAAAAATATTTACAATTTTTTTTTTTTTTTTTTTTTTTTTTTTTATTATTATTATTAATATTATTTATTTCTTTTATTATTTATATTATTTTTTGTATATTATTGCCTGTATATTATTGACAGCAGATATTATTTTAATATTTTTAATTTTAATAGTATTAAAATTATTTTTTTTTAATAATTAACAACTCATGTACTTTTTTTTTAATTTTTCCTTTGAAAATGATTTTTTAATTTTACGACAGTTTAATGAACGTTTTGCACAAGTGGGTTTATTAAAAACGAGCAATACGATTTAAATAAAAATTACTTGATGCCATAAAAGCAAAAAAAAAAAATTGAATCCTCAGGAGATACATAGTACATATTGGTAGAGACGTTATTATAATAATTATTACGTCTTAACGGATCTGAGAGAGAGATGCACATAAATTGTGATGAAGGAGAATTAATGGGGAGGAAAGCCCAAATAAAAGCTGTTTTCTCAGTTTCTAAAGGTGGGTGTGAAATGTAAAGTCAGCGATCCGATGTGCCTCAGGCCGATGCACTGAAGATTGCGGGTATCCTTGCTGAGGTCGGACGGCACTCGTTGAAGGTCGTTGCCTGCTCCATATACCCGGTGTCTTAACAAGAAAATTCCTCTGCTATTACAATTTTTTTTTTTTTTTTTTTTTTTAATTAAAATTATAATATTTTTTACTATTATTAATAACATTATTTTTTTCTACTATTATTACTGTTTATTTATTATTTACTATTCTCGACTTGTTTCCTTCAAATACTAAATATATTTCATATTTGAAATTTAAATTTCCCGCCAAATTATTGAATCGGCGCAGGCCGGGAGTTTCCCTCAAGCATTAGGGTGCGTTCACACTTTAACTGCTTGCATTATTTGGTGGCTATAATATTTCATAAAATGTCATATTTTCTAATCAATTTTTTGTTTTCTATTCTTAATTCTAATAAATTTAAAAATTAGTAGTACATTTTTTTACTATTAATTTTTTTTTATTTTTTTTTATTAAATAATAATTTTGTTAAAATTTTATTTTTTATTTTTATTTTATGTTTGCTGTTTGTTTTAATAATTTTGTTTGAAAAACAAAAAAAAATGATTATATAATAAAGTTTAATATTATTTGTTTATTTTCGCGACAAAAATAATTATATATTTAGAAATGATGAGCAAGAAAAAAAAATTGTTCTATAGGTCAAACGGCCAGTTTAATAACGAGTCACGCAAAATCATAAACTTTGATGGCTTTCGCAAATCTTCAAGCCAGACGTCATTAACGAAAGGATACTTTTTCTTTTAACGATTCGATTTCATTGGACTGGTTGCTTACTTGAAATTCATTTCACTCAAAAAATCGATAATAAATTTTTCTCTAAATGGAAAGATGCTAAATACCAACTGCAATAAAGTTAAATAACAATAAATAAATTATTCTTAATACCAGTTGATGAAAAATCTCATTTGCAATAAAATAAACAGATTTTTTTTCTTTTCTTTTTCTTATAGTTTTCTCTTATTTTGATCCCTTATTTAAAATAAAACGCTTGCAATGAAATTATAATATCTCGTAATAGAAAAGTATTCATCGTTAAGCAATTTTTAATTAATAAGAAAATTTTTCCAATTAAAAAGGAAAACAAAATTGATGATACGGAAATTTTTTTTATTTGCATATTTTTTCGCAATAATTAGAAATAAATTTTCTAATTTATTGGAAAAAATGAAAATAAATTTTGTAATTGTAATTATTGGATAAATAAATAATTATAAAATGAGAGAAAAAATAAATTTTTTAACTATCTTGGGAAATTGTGATAATTTTCGCATTTTTCAATTTTTTTTTCGTGAGATCATCTATAAAAGTAGGATAATTAAATCAATACCATGTTATATAATCAATAGGTAGAAATATCGATTCTCGATCAAAAGAGATTTCTCGTCTCAATGATGCTCCACCCTTCAATCGAAAATTGCTGACCAGCAATGTTGAAAGTCTGCTCTTGAAATTGAAATCAATTCTGGCTTTCTAGCCCAAGGGCAATCATTGAATCGCCATTGTTTTACTCCACAATTATTTTAAATACCATTCTTTCAATATAGTATTTATAAAACTTTGAAAACACTTTCTCGAAAAATATTTTCATCGAAAGAAAATTATTTTCAAATTGCGACGGCAAGAAATAATTATACATTTTTATTGGAAAAAAAATATGCAAATGGGGAATCACATTTGGCGCGAAATTTGAAATTGTTTTAAAATTTGTTT